TGGCTTCGGGTGCCACTGACTGTCCTGTGGGTGGCCGGGACGCTCACCCTGGCACTGCTGCTGCCCGACCTCAGCAAGATCATTGGCATCATCGGTGGTGTGAGCGCCTTCTTTATCTTCATCTTCCCAGGTGGGGGCGCACTGCGGGCCTTCTGTCCCTGGCGGGCCCTCTGCTGGGCGGAGCTCCTGGGTGGAGGTGGGCATCCGTGGGGACGGGACTCGGGCCCTACCTGGCTGCCTGGTCACTGAGCGGGGCCCAGTGTGAGCTGAGCCGCTCAGCAGCCCTTCGAGGGCCCATGGGTAGGAGACGTGCTGGGAAACTACAGTAAAAGCTGACATGTATAAAATTTTATTCACTAGAAGAAACATTGCTACAAATGCCCTCAAAATACGGCCGTCACTTGGAACACAGAAGCGAATCTGCAGGTTTTCTTCTGTGTCTTTAGTTGTGTTGCTGTGGCTGCCTTGGTGGCCCTGGATGGATTCAGATGTTTTCCTCCTGTGGTCATTTTGACTTTGGTTTGTTTGTTTTTGGTGGAACTGGGGATTGAACTCAGGCCCTTGTGCTTGCCAGGGAAGCGCTTATTCTGCTGAGCCATCTCCCCGGCCCTCATTTTGACCTTGGGGCAGAGAAGGAATTCATGATGCCAGACCTAGGGGAAAAGATGGGTGAGGACACGGTCATGTTTTTACAAGCTGCCTTTTTACTGGATGGCACTCCACAAAAGGAGGGTTTTTTGTCTTTTGAGACAGGATCTCTCTATGCAGTTCAGGCTGGCCTTGAGCTCACTTTGTAGTCCAGGCTGGTCTTGAAACAATCCTCCAGTCCTACAGATGAGAAGGCCTGGGGTGCTACAGCTGGGGTTCAGGGGTGGGAGCTGGGTGCAGCATTGTCTGCCCTCGCGCTGATCCCTTCCGCTGCAGGCCTGCGATGCATTTGTCTAACTCGGACATGCCCAGGTCACAGCCTACATAGTGAGGACTGTGAGGAGTCCTGCTGTGCACACTGTCAGCACAGGAGACCAGCGAGGTGCTTCCCAGGTCTGCAGGGCCGTTGTTCCAGGGAGCAGCACACAGTGCCTCCCTACGAGGAGACCCCCGTGCCTCAGGACCCCCATCTACCAGGCAGTGACCTTGGGAGGCCTGCAGTCAGGTGTCTGAGGGGCCCCAACCCAGCCCTGCTGGTGCACAGTGGGGAGGCACGTGCCCAATGGAAGACTTGCCAAGCAGATATGGAAGCTTTGGAAGGATTACCCAAACTCAAATCGGGAAATGGGACAGGACTGGGGGCCCCAGGCTGGGTGTGCACTCAGTGGTGGAGCACTTCCTTGGCATGCATAGGGTCTTGAGTTCAAGCCTAGGAAAGATTCAGGGCCCCAGTAGGTGGTCCACAAGTGCTTTCTCAGCAGACCTGGAGAGAACCCATAGAACAGGGAGAAGTGGGCAGGAGGGCTCACCAATGCCTGTGGCACCCAAAGGGCGGGTCGCAGTATACTCAAGGGTCCCTGAGACTCCAGGGCCTTCTTGGGCAACGTGGGAGGCAGTGCTGCAGGGGATTAGCCAAGGAAGATGGCCTTGGCCTGCGTACTGGGGAGAGCCCTCCTGGGCCCCTTGTGTCCCCCTTGGCACCTGGGCCCCATGCTGGGTGGCACCTTTGGGTGCTGGCTGTCGCCTGGCAGGAGAGAGGGGGTGCAGATAGGGTGCAAGGGAGGGGAGGCCACAAGGTGCTGGGCCTGCCACCTGGCTTGTGTCTCAGTGGGACTATTTAAAATCTATTATAGGACAATATGCAATGTGTTAATTATTGAAAATGTGCTAGTAATCAGTTGTGAAACTGTCTCATTGCTATTTGGTTCTCAATAAAAATATTAAAAATGAAAAAAATCTATCATAAAATCAGAGAAGGAGAGGGTGGCGGCTGGCAGCTGTTGAGAATCTCAGAAATGGGCAGCAGCTCGCACCACCTGCAGATTCTGCCAGGAGGGCTGTTGGCACTGCTATCTAAGACTGCGCTCTGGAGGCCATGTGGTTGCTGGCCTCTGGCCGAGTGCTAATGGGGTGCTGAACTGGGCTCCCTTCCAGGCCTCTAACCAGGGGCTGTGCCACCTAGCCAGGGGCTAATGGGGGCATGCTTGGCAAAAGACCTGTGGGTCTCCGGCATCCCCTGCGGGTGCTGGTGGCTCTCAGCCACAGCGCTTGCTTCGCCTGGTCTGCTGGGAGGGCTGAGAGACCTTGTGTCCTTCCCAGGTCTGTGCCTCATCTATGCCGTGGATCTTGAGCCCATGGGACCAAGAGTCAAGTGAGTGTCCCCACGATGGGGTTGGCAACTTGGCTGGGAGTGAGGCTGCTGCTGTCCTGTAGATAAGAGACCGAAGGCTGCCCTGGGAGGGGGCTTGTCCACACAGTGAGATAACATCTGCGCTGTCAGGACCCTGGTCAGCGACACTCAGTCCTGGGTTTTGGTGCCTTCTGCCCCAAGTGTCTGGCTGGAGCGTTCTGCGGCTCTGAGGTCTGCCTCGCTTTGGGAGCCCACGGGTGGTGCCTCTTCCTCTCTCCTCGTTACCTGGCTCAGACCTAGGGCAGGAGCGTGTGTGTGGAGGCCTTGGGCACCAGGCCCAGAGCCTGTGCTGTGTTGTAGCTGAGGACCTGTGTGCTGGGCCCCACGATGGTCCAAGTCACGCACTTGTAGGCCTACCCTGCTGGGAGAGTCTGCCCTGCAGGGGCCTGGTAAGGCCAGGCTCAGCCCAGGCCCCTGGATCTGAGGGTCTGTGCAGCTCAACTCCCTTCACACAGATGAGGGAAGAGGCTGAGACAGGAAGCAAGGCTGCGCTTGTTTTCTGGGGCACAGCAACAAATCACCCCCAGCCAGGGGGCTTAAAACAACAGGAACTGGGGGCCGGCCCTGTAGCTCAGTTCTTTAAGTGGCTGCTTCAACAAAGCAGTCAGGCTCAGGTTGCTGTGATTCGATCCCCACAACTCAAGCCAGCCAAACCTGCCCTGAAGGCATTCAGAGAAAAAAAAAAAAAAAAAAGCCAGGAACTGTTCTCCTCATTCTGGAGGCCGCAGGCTGAGGGGAGGCTGCCCTGCTCCTGGTGCTCCTGGGCTTGAGGCTGTGTCTCTTCTGGCTGCCTGCATGCTCAGGGCCTTCCTGTCTCCGGCACTCCAGTCTCCCGTGGCCTGTCTCCTGGGAAGGGCACAATCAGTGGATTGAGGGCCCGCCACAAATCCGGTGTGGTCATCACGAATCTGCAAGGGCCCGTTAGCAAAGAAGGTCACTCTCAGAGTCCCAAGCAGAGGTGACTCTGGGGCACTCCAGGTCCCAGCCTCAGGCCTGTGCCTGGTGTCCTCTGGCTCCCCCATCCCTGGGTCCCGGGCCTATTTCTCTAACGGAGCAACTTGTGGCATGGCTCCCTACTGGTTCTTTCTGGATTCCCCTAAGCTTCACTTGGGCTCCCAGCGGCCCTGGAGCTCCTTGAAAAGGTTTTTTGGGAGAAGCAGATTGGGGATTGAACCCAGGGCTCTTCACAGAGCTGCATCCTGAGCCCTTTTTTGAGACAGAGTCTTGCTAAGTTCCCCGGGCTGCGATCAAACTTGGGATCCTCCTGCCTCTGCCTCCAGCGCAATGGGATGACATGCATGTGCCACCACACCCAGCTCTCCTCAGAACCTCGTGTGGGCTTTGTCCTCAGACCCAGCTCCTCAGTATTTACCCATGAGCCCTCACGATGTGTTTTCCTGTGCTTGCCCTCGGTCCTTCTGTTCCCTTGGTGTGGCTCCGGGGGGCACTATGGCTGAGTCCCCTCTGTCCTGTGTGACACTGAGCAGCCATGAGACAGCTGGCACGGGTCCCCTGCCCTCTGCTAGCGGGCCCTGTAGTCCCTCTGGCGCCCTGCAGCTCGGTGGGAATTGTGTCATCGCGGTCGTCTTCTCGGCGGCACCCAGTTGCTCTGAAAGCTCCGCCCGAGCCCTTGGTGGCCGGCAGGACCTGCTGGCCCTGCTCTCCATGCCCCCCCGGCAGCTGCCCTAATGTGTGCAGTGAAGCCCCAGCCCTCGTCTGCCACTGCCTCCGAGCCCCGCTCCAGGGCAGGGAGATGTGAGGGCGCCTCCAAATCATGCCATGAGCTTTCCACGCACGCACAGCCCTGGCGCGCTGACGCGGCTTTGTGCCTCTGCAGGTGCTGCCTGGAGGCCTGGGGCGTGGTCTCGGTGCTGGTGGGCACCTTCATCTTTGGGCAGAGCACCATAGCCGCCATCCTGGAGCTGGCCTGAGGGGCCTCCGCCGGTGTCCAGCTCAAGAGGAGACTGGCACGCTGCTGTTAGTGTGAAGATGCCAGGGTGCAGACTCCTCCACCTCCCAACCCTCTCCTGGGGGTGTCGGAGAGAAACTGTCCGCCGCACAAAATTGGGGTGTGGTGGGTTGCGCTCACCTCCCAGAAATATCTTCCTGCCTTTTTCTGTTTCTTGAGGTGGGGACCCTGGGGTTCCTCATCTCTGCTTGCATACTCGCCTGGCGGCCTCCCCAGGGTCTGTTCGGATGTCCCACCTGTAAGAACACTGGACATTCATTTAGGCCGCAGTCTGTTTTAGTACACTGGCCTCTGGACTGGACTGCAGCTCGCCTTGATGACTCAAGATGTGTAAGAGTCGGGTTTCCAAGTAGGGCTTCATTCACTGGGCCCAGTCAGGGCTCCAACTTCTCCTCCTGTGGATACTGCTTACTCCTTACTGCGGAGGGCAGGGCTGAGACCCAGGGTAGAGGACCAATGGGGGACCTCCAGGGCGTCCCTTGCAAGGGCAGTGGCCTCGAGCTGGCTCACAGTCCTGTCTAAACCAGCAGATCCCAGTGTGATTGTTTAGGTCTTAAATATCCCCCCAAAGTCTTGGGGCCCTGTTCTTACCAAAGGGCTCATCCACTGATGAAATTGTGGCTGAGTGTGCTGTTGGGAGGGGCCCTGGCTGGAGGTGGCCCCAGGGCATGTGACCTGGAGCATCTGTCACTGTCCCTTTGGGCTCTGCTTCCTGTCTAGCACAGGCTGAGCCCCATCCCTTGGCCAGGCAGCTTCTGTCTTGGAGAAGCCAAGCAGGGACTGAATCCACTAAATCGTGAGTTAGAATAAACCTATCCTCTAATTTGTGGGCATCGGGCATTGTGTCCTAGTGACAGAGAAGTGACTGATCCTTCCAGGGTGATGGATGCCCACAACAGCCCACGTCCCTTTTCCCTGCAGCTCCGTGGCACCTGGAGTGCCTAGAGGCTAAATGGACCGTGTGCCCTGCAGCTCTCGCCTGACCCCACCTAGACACTGTGCAGTTGTCGCGCTTGCTGCAGCGGGCAGGGGGTCCAAGGGTCCTTCCCAGGGCCTCAGTGGGGGAGCAAAGGGCGGGTGTGGGGAGGGACCCACAGGTTCCAGTGCGCAGCCTTTAGCTCTGCCTGGGGCCATGTCTCGTATGTCTTGACTCAGCCACCTTTTCTGCCTCAAGCTCGCTGTCCTCAGATGCCTGAGGGCAGGGCTGACATTCCTAGCACCTTTCACCGTGCAGGCAGCAAGCCTGGCCCTGGGCCAGGCCCCTCTCGGTTACCTGCTGTGCTGTGTCTGGGCCCATGTGGGGTTGGCTGTGATAGTCCAGTTTGTTGGCTTCCCAGCCCATCTGTGTGCGTGAACTTTCTAAAATAGTGATGTAATTTGCATACCATCAGTTCCCTCAGTGGGGCCCTGC